CAGATTCTTTTGTTGCGACTTTCTTGGATCTGACAGATCCTGTTCTGATAACCTGTTCCTCTCCAGAAGGAACGATCAGGTGATGCCATCGGCTGTTTGCATCCTGGATCCATCCTCCACGGATCTTTGAGAATGGTACAATTTGATCCGTGAAAACCTGGCCCGAGTCGGTCAAGCGACCGCCAAGGTCTCTCATGAGGGTCTTGGTCGGGATGTAGAGGCATACGAACCCCCCCAGACGAGTGTCCACGCTCTTGGTGATATTCCAGGATCGTGAACATATGGGTTGAAAAACGTGAAGATTCTCGTGTTCCCGTCCAAGCCGCCAGGGATCAATCCCTCTTTCCAAATGCTCTTTAAGCGATCCTTCATCGTGATGTGAAAACATACCGGAAGTGAAATCACCGTATTTGGAGCAATTGAATGAGATAATAGGGATGCTTATCAGAGTGACGTCATTGACCAGGCTAAGCTTGTGACCTGTTGGTGCTCGGACGGCCACCGGGTACAGGAGTAGCCCTTCATCTGGAATTCTTGTGTTTTGATCGACGTAGTTTGATCTGCACGTCTCACTGTTCCTGTCGATGTCCGGATAGATGCCAAAGGCAAGAACTTGTTCACGGAACATGATCTTGAACAGGATATTATACTCATTCGGCGTCCTGCCTCCTGCTTGTCCCACGCCCTTTTGTCATTGGTCCTTCCTCGTGGGGCTAGGAACGTGTGTGGTGATCTGGATGATTCTTGCCTCCAGACGCTCTCATACTTGAGGAGGTCGTCGATCGGGACCCAGCCTGCATCATCACAAGCCAGACCAAGGTTGACCTTTTCCATGACCTTCCCAGCATGATGCCTGAGGGCACGATTCAGGGCACTGCTCACGTCTTTCTCGTATGGCTCGAGTTCGTTTCTTTGCCCGAATCTGTAGTTGATGTCGATCTCGACACCATTGTACTTGGTGGTCCGCTTCTTCATGGGTAAGAAGTAAGTAACATAGAGGACTTAGTGTAAATATATTTGTTTATATTTTACTTAGCGAACTTAGCTTTCTGATTCATTTTAATATTGTGTCTTATTTTCATCATTTTAGATGTATGTAACTTACAAGTACCGCATCTATTTTTTAAGTTTTTGCAATATGGTTTTTTAGCTATTTTTTTTGAAAAACACATTTTTTTAAAATGTTTAAAAATCAATTGTGTGGCGCGCGTGAGTGATACATGTGCAAAACTGTTCTATTGTTTTTTATGCTTTGTGTGAAGAAACTACACACGCTGTAAAAAATACATGTATATTGTGTTGCATGGACACATGAACGAAAAATTATGTTTTGCAAGCAAAGTGTGAGGCCAGGCAGTGATCACACATGTCATGAAAGCTATGCGATTGCAGCATTGTCTGTGTTTGTCTGCTGGTTTTCTATTATTTGTGACGGCTCATGGGGCCGCACTTTGAAAGGACAGAAGGATTGACATAGAAGAAGTTTTATCGTATGTTTGTTTCCTGGCGGCTCATGGAGCCGCCTCACGTCATCAAAAAGGTCCTTTGAGTACACATTTCTTGCACACGTACGGATAAAGGCGGCGCATCGCGCCGCCCAGCCAGTGTTGTCTGTGAGCACGTTTGTTTTCAATGCACGCAACGAAGCTTGACGTCGCTTTCTGGCAACCACCAAGATGGTTTTTTCCCAATCTTGTGCATGGAAATGATCTTTGGTTTGGTGGTGATCGTCCACAAAGAGTAGAATTCATATTCAGCGATCGGCTCCAGAATCCTGATTTTCAGGTAAAAGGCCCCATTGGCTCGAATGCAGCTAACTACTGATCCTGGATGTTCTCCCAGCAAAACATCACCAGCACAAATGCTTCGCCCTTTGACTTGCAGTCCAGTGCTGATTTTGCATTCTGCTGTTCCCAACACCTGGGCCAGCTGCAAATCATCCGTAGCATTGCCAAGCAAACCGTCATCGAAATCGTAATTTTTCACCGCTTCAATGTGGTGTTGCCACATTTGTCGAAGCACAAAGTGGCTGAAAGATCCATCTTCATGTTGTGTCCATGGATCAAATCGATGTAGTCCAACATGTGACTTGTATAGCTTGTGCTTCTTCTCTCCAGGAAAGCAGTCGACATGAAATCCAGCTCTCAAGAGTTGCTTGGGCAGGTGAAATCTCACATGATGTTTTGGTCTGATATGATCATATCCAAATGCAAGTTTTGTTAAACCATGATGTTCCACCTGCAATGCTTGCAAGCGGTCGAATACCACGACCTCCTCATGAATGATCTTTCGCAATTCCATTGTGATTCGCCGCAAACTACGCATACTGTTGAGGATATCCACGCAAAGATCTGTCTCTTTGAGGCATTCCTCCAAAAAATGATGAAACAAAGGAAAGAAACACTGAAGGTTGCTAGAGGACCCTTTGTAGGCTGCTCCACCGAACATAGACTCATGGCAGAGACTCAATCTCCATGATCGTGTATTTGATTGTCCCAAGCTGCATTTCCAGTCCAGTGTGAAGAACTCTTTGAGGTTTCCCACCTTGCATTCCACCCACGCATCGTATGCTGCTTTGACTTCCCAACTGGCAATACCATTGGACCAATACAAATGCATAGTATCCAAGAGGAAAGACCAGGGCGGCAAAATTTCACGCATCATGTGATCTGAGAGTAATGCTGCCGAGCAAACATTGAAACCGGATGCTTGTTCTTTCTTTTGCATCGCTGATTTGGACAGGATACGCTTTTGATTCACCAAGTAGTCCCACAATTCGAAGATATCGCCATCGGATTGATTCAGAAAACCTGCCAAATTTGTAGAGGTAATATCTTGAAACAAGGGATTGTCCTCGACGAGACCAGCGTGTTTTTTGACACAATTCTGGCAAAAGAGACAACATCTGATCGCTGAAGAACCCTTAAGGCTCAAAGCACCTCTGATCGAATCCAGGTCTGACACCATCCACTTTATTTCACATCTTAAGATGGTTGGACCTTCAGGCAGCTCCACGGGAAATCCCAAATGGAGATCTTCTTGGAAGATCTTCCGCAAAATTGCTTTCACAATTGCCGAGAAGCCACCAATGACCCTTTCGATTTCATTGTGTTGGATCAAAACTAAGGGGTGCCATACGACATCACTCCACCGCCATCCCACTTCCTTCAAACAGAAATACCACAGACTTGATTTTTTACTGCTGTCAGGGGATAGCAAGTTGCCTCCTTGAGCTTCATCATTGTAAAGAATGATTTGTAGACATTTTCCAAGATATCGTTTCAGAACTTTTTGAACCTCGGCCGCATATCCTCTGCTTGAAATAATGATGTGTTGTAAAAGCTTGGAGATGCTGGCCACAAAGAATGTCACAGTTGAACCTTCAAGAGCATTAAGTGTCACTGGCTCATAAACTTGAGGGCAGCTTGCAGTCACTAAGCGTTTCCATTTGGCAGCGTTCACTTGCTCTTCAGGACGGTCCAAAGAAACACAAGCAGAGTTGAAGATTTTTCTTCTGCTATCTTCGGACACGCCATGGAGACCTTGCGTCTCATCAATAGTTTTTGCAGCAGGCGAAATTTGTTTCCTCTTACCCATTGGGGCAGCACTATCCCTTGGCAAAATGCCAAACCAAACTTGAGCTGTTAGTAAATGGTTGTAACATTTCATTTTGCACCAAGTACCATGAGATGATTAAGTAGTATTTTTCAAAACTCTAGTGACACTGCACAGCCTTTCATGAGCAGTCATGTTATCCGGAAGGAACCCATGAGCGGCTCATGGAGCCGCTGGTTGCAGACATATATGTATACATATATATATATATCACTATATGTATTATCAAATACACATATTGTAAATAAAAACGTTGGTTACATTTGAAACATTCTGAGCGGTTCATTGAACCGCTCTGCGTGACCATGGTTACAAGCAAATCATACAGAAAAAACTGCGATTCATTCAGCTGCAAGTAGTTGGCTGTGAAGAAAGCAACGCTTCACAATAGAACTTTTTCTTCAACCGTGTGTTTGGGTTGTAAAACTGTTCCTAACGCCAATGCAAATGTACCTTGCATTTGCAATGGCGGTGACCAGGTCTGGCCCTAATGCAAGCTTTCTCACAATGCATGCAGACTCCCGGGCATGGCGTTTCACGATGAGAATTCTGATTCTCACGACACTGTTCTTCTTGAAAAGGAGAGTTGCCTGTGGCTTGCCCTTGTTCTGGATCCAGAGGTTCTGCCAGTAGTTGAGATCCAGCAAGGCGACTCTTGAGTTCACAGCAAATGCTCATCAGCATTTCCAATAGCTGCAGCAGGCTGGCACGCTGGACCCTCATGGCAAATGAATTTTCCATTCAACAGCCACAAGAAAATACAAACTTAATGGGCAGGCTCCAGTGATCCGAAATCTTGCTGATAAATCATTGGGATAACGCAAGGAAACCAGAGCGGCCCTACGTGTCTACACAGGTTTTGTTACAAAGCGCCTGCATTTTTATAAGAAACAAAAAGAGATCATGCGGTCCAACGGACCGCACGCAGATCCCCCACGGAGTTATCATTCCAAGTGATTACAAACACGTATGTATAGTCCTAGTGCGGCCCAAAGGGCCGCAATGGGCTACGCTCACGCTGAGAAGCTGCCATTGTTTGAAGTAATCATAAGCCAAAACTGGAAACCAAGGATGCCCCACAGGAGAAATGGGTCACTTGCCCTTCGCTGGGCCAATCACCTTCTTCTTCAAGTCCATGCCGTCCTTTGCCAACTCCTTCATGAGGGTTGTGACCTGCTTTTCATTATCGAATGGCAAGGCGGCTAACTCACAGGCAGGGTTCTTGGAGTAAAAGCTCAGGGCCTCTGCGGTTTTTTTCTTGTAGTTCTCCACAGTCTGCATCTTTAACCCGAATGCCACAACGTCCTCATGTTCCGAAAGACCAGCAGCCTCTGCCTTGTTGTAAACCTCACATGCCTTGTGCAAAGCTGCTGCCAGGGGAGCACTCAACTTCGAAGACATGCTTTTGCCTCACGCTTTCGAGCACTCTCCTCTTTCTTCTTCTCTTTCTGCGTCGCTTTGTCGTGCTTGTTGGCTTCACGTTTCAGCTTCGCCTCCAGCTGCTTTGCGGAAAGCTTTTTGTCTGAGGACTGCGGCACATCATCACCGGACGGACCGTAGGGGTTAAGCAAAGCGTCCTATAACAGCAAATGTGGAAAACATTACTGCACATCCCTCCATAGGCATTGGTGGTTTGATATGGAACCAGCAATCATTTAATCATAGGAAATGATATTATCGACATTAGATTATCTGAAAATCAAAGTGATCAATAATGACTTACGTTATTTTTTTTGTAAACCTCACTCAATTGATTTGTTTCAAACCATGCCTTTGTCGTCACTGTCCGACTCCAAGTCCACGTCCAGGGCCTCAGTCTGCTGCGACACACAAGACTTCTTCTCGGAATTCTCAATCTCAGAACCAGCTTCAAGAGCAGGAATTTTGCGCTTCTTCACCAAGCGCTCGGCTTCCACGATCTGGCTCTCCACGGTGTTGTCGATCTCAGCCTCATTGATGCTTGTCTCTGCAAGCAAGTAAGTATCACAGCCAAGGCCTTCCGACCACATGCACGGGTTCCTTTGGCAGAAGCCGCTGTCAATCTTGTATCCTCTGGCTTCATACACAGATAAGGGCAAATACGTCCCTCCTGTGTTGACTTTTCGTTGCCTGATCTTCTCTTCCTTGAGCGCTGTCCACAACACATTTCTCACATTTTTGTACACAAAGCAGGTCTTCTTAGAAGCTTCTTTCTGCTCCTTGCACTTCATGAAGAACTGCTGCTGCTGAACCTCACTTAGCTCGGAGAAAGAGCTTGGAGGCCATTTCTGGTGACGTCTGAGCATCGTGTAGATGCTGTTGCACTCTTTGCACCAAATTTCACGAGGGCCACGCACCACCGCATCATCAAGCTTGAGATCAAGCCCACACTTTTTGCACGGCAAGGCTTCCAACATGTCTTCTCCTTCATCCAAGAAAGCATCTGAACGAACAAGCTGAGTCAAAGGGTCCTCTTCACCATCTTCCTCAGTGGCGGCTTGCTCAGTGGCCGGCACCTCATCAGCATAGGCTTGTGTCTCAGGCAAGGCCTTCAACACCCTCATCTCCTCAGGAGTAAGCTCTTGGGTGTCTTTCTGCATGGCACCTTCGGTTGTCTTTTCTTCCTCCTTCTCAGCATCCTTTGGTGAAGCCTGCTGGCCTTCCACGGTTGGCTGCTGGCTCTGCTGAACATTGGAAGCTCCATCAGTCACCCCCTCATCATCCTGGCTGACATTCTGGTTGTCACTGATCTGCGACAACAGGACGGAGTTCTCCACTGGCTGGGCCATCATGCTCTGAGAATTGAGCAAGCCAAGCTGGTTGTCAGGATATTGCTCCTCCTGTGTGTCAGGAATGACAACGGTGGCTGGCTCTTCAGCTGGCAAGGTTGGCGCGGCAGGCTCCATGGTACAATCAGCGCCAAAACGAATGGATACAGAATCCAAGCTGCTGATCAGAAATGCTACATTCAAAGTCGATCCGTCAAGTATTTTTCCATGGTGAAGCTGCTCATGGAGCCGCTTTGTACATGGAGACATGTTGATGTTCAAAGAAAAGTAATACATATGTTTCTCATTCTGTATTCTGTATGATACAGCGGCTCATGGAGCCGCTGGCTTTGTACATGGAGACATGTTGATGTTCAAAGCAAAGTAATATATATATATATATTATATATATATGTGTGTTTCTCATTCTGTATTCTGTATGATACAGCGGCTCATGGAGCCGCTGAATGTTGTATAAATAATTATAAACATATATACAAATAATGTATAAATAATGTATAAATAATGAATAAATGATGTATAAATAATGTATAAATGATGTATAAATAATGTATAAATAATGTATAAATGATGTATAAATAATGTATAAATGATGTATAAATAATGTATAAATAATGTATAAATGATGTATAAACAATGTATAAATGATGTATAAATAATGTATAAATAATGTATAAATAATGTATAAATAATGTAAAAATGATGTATAAATAATGTATAAATGATGTATAAATAATGTATAAATAATGTCTAAATAATGTATAAATAATGTATAAATGATGTATAAATAATGTATAAATAATGTCTAAATAATGTATAAATGATGTATAAATGATGTATAAATAATGTATAAATGATGTAAAAATAATGTATAAATGATGTATAAATAATGTATAAATGATGTATAAATAATGTATAAATAATGTATAAATGATGTATAAATAATGTATAAATGTTGTATAAATAATGTATAAATGATGTATAAATAATAATGTATAAATTATGTATAAATGATGTATAAATAGTGTATAAATAATGTATAAATGATGTATAAATAGTCTATAAATAATGTATAAATGATGTATAAATAATGTAAAAATGATGTATAAATAATATATAAATCATGTATAAATAATGTATAAAATAAGTGTATAAATGATGTATAAATAATGTATAAATGATGTAAAAATGATATACAAGTGATATGAAACTGTGGGTAAATTATTTATAATATGTCGATAACGACTAATTACATTCAAGATATAACGAACTCATACCTGAAGACACCAAACAAACAAATATTTGTTTGAAGACTATGGCAAACATCCATGTTTTGCGGCACAGGGGGCCGCGCCACTGTTCCTAACCCAGATACAATCTAGTGAAGGAGCAACATGGCAGAGTTCTTTTGCCGATGCATTGCACGATCCCACAGCAATTGCCATCACTGTCTTTCAAATCAAAAACCGAGATCTCTACAACCAACGTTGCTTCAGCGTCGACCTCCCTTGCCCTTCTTCTTTCCCTTGTGTCGCTTCTTCTGCTTCTTGTCAGAAACGTCTGGTGTCACAGGTTCCTGATTCTCTTCAACGCTGGACTCCTGCTGGCGCTCGGTGTTGCGCTGGTCATCATCATGGATCTCCTTCAAGGTGGCTGGTTCGTCACCGTCACGATTGAACGCTCCTAGAGCTTTCATGACCATCCATCGCTTCAGCCAATACTCGATGGATTCTTCTGTGTAGGATCCAGCCTGCCCACGGCGGACAGTGCCATCCGACATGATGGTGAATCCGTACTGTGGTGCATCGTCCGTCATCATGCGAAAACGCTATGTCAGTTTGTCTGACACTTGCAAAAGTTTTCACCAACTTTGATGCTTGGAAAAATACTGCAGTTGGAATCATTGTAAAGTTCATCTTCATGGCAATTGAAAGCATACATGTTGCCAAACCTACTACTAGGGCGGCTCATGGAGCCGCTGGTTGCATGTATATCTTAGATTTCGTTTATGTATTGCACTATGCAATTGTATTAAACATATCAGAGATTTAATGACTCAGGATTACAAGAATATCCGTCCAACATTGGTATCACTGGATTGATTATGAAACATTTCAGAACTAACTGTAGCGGCTCATGGAGCCGCCTTACGATTCCAAGACATGAAGTATTCACAAGAACCCTCACAAACTTTGATCAAAATGCTGCAAACAATTTTTAAACCTTCAAGCAAGATCAGCACTCGGCAGGGTTGTTATCAGCGTGGCTGCTGGTTGGATCAGGTCCAGGTGCTTTTGATGTAGCCTTCATTACTGCAGGGCCAGATGAAGTTGCAGTTCTGGGCATAGGTTTCGGCTTCGGTTTCACAGCAGGCTTTGCCTTGCCACCGGCCCGCTTACGGAACTGGTTCCGTACGCACCTCTCATAGGCCCTTCTTGACCCAAAAAGTTCCTGAGTCGATGGCTCAAAAAAAAAAAGAGATCACATACTTAGGTTTTTGTAGAAATTCGAATTACCAGAACTTGAAATATAGTTAAATGAAACAACCCAAACCAAAACAACACTAAACAGCAAACAAGAAACATAGCATCGACCTTCCCAAAAAGGTCCTGCTTTGCCAGTCACTCTGGGAGGAGGTACCAAGCGAGGTCTTCCAGGCGGCGGTGGCAAAGGTGGTGGCCCACGAGGAGGAGGCATAGGCAACTTAGCTTTGGGAGGCGGTGGAACTCGCGGCTGCATCTTTAGAGGTTGTGGCAGCTTTGCTTTGGCCCGATGGCCACAGGAATCATCAGGCATGGAAGATCCAGAAGCCTTGCTCGTTGGCTTCATAAAAATATGAGGCTCTACTTCCTGTCTGGAAATGAGGCCTTCCGACAAAAGTCTGTGCACCAAAGCTGTCTGGATAGCATCAAGCATGGCAGCATCCACGACAGGCTCCTGCTGTTTGTCAGGATCCTCAGGGACTGGCTCCTCAGCCTCAAAGTCATATTCAGGCGATGGTGGCTGGGTGCGGTCATCTTCCATGTCCTTCTCCTGCTGGTACCTCTCCCAGTTCAACTGGTCTTCAAACATGTCATCAGCCAAGCCATCTTCTTCCTTGACATCGCTACCATCATGTGCAGCTGCATCTGAACCAGCTCCAAGTCCGGAAGTCGTAAGCGCTGCTTCCAGCTCTGCGTCATCCCAGGTGTCTACGTATCCTAACATCCCTGAAGGCTAATCTAATACCTTGATCCTGAAATATACAGTATAATATTTATCTTAACAATACTCTTGATTGAAACTGTTACCTACAATGATACATCCTGAATCAAGCGGCTCAAAGAGCCGCTACACTACACACTGAAAAAAGGGTTCTGGCGGTTACCGTGTAGTGGTTACCATGCCTGACAAAAGTAAATATCACAGAAGCGGCTCAAAGAGCCGCCTGTAGCAAACAAAACTCATGTTCCACGCTCTATTTTTTTCCTTCGTCTCAAGACCGCTCGCAGATGCATCAACAAAATGAAACTATCTCTAGAGTCCACACTCAGACAGGGCGATAAGAACGCTTAATCCAGCAGGAATTGCAGCATCCTGCGACTCCTCGGCAACTTGTGCATCCCTCTGGCTTCAGACGCAATCGCTGCGCCATTGTGATGGGGCCTTTGCAATGGCTGCTCTTCATTGCAGCCGGTCGCTTCAAGACACTAGCCTTGGGCTTCAAGACACTCTTAGCCTTGGGCTTTGCCTTGGCTTTCTGAACTGCAGGCGCAGCTTTAGCCTTGGATTTTGGGAATAGGAGGAGGTGCCTTGGAGCCACACTTGGCACTAGCGGGGCGCTTCAGAACGTTCAAATTGGGTTTCTTGGCTGGAGGTTCTTCATTCTTATCAGGTGCCTCATCATCATGTCTTTCCTTTTTCCCATCATTTCGACTTCTCAAAGCCTGTTCCAATTGCTGCGACACACTCACAGCGGATGCAGCCTTCTGGTCTGCGGTGCTCTTCTGTTCGGGCACATTTGCAGTCACTTTGTCTTCTAAGGCCAAAAGTGTTTCTTTCTCCACATTTTTTTCTGGCTTTTCATCCAGCACCACTTCAATTTTGTCACGCTTCTCCACTTCTTGATTTTCCGGTGGGCTATCGGCAGAAGGAGCTGCCTCATTGGCAAGGGCTGGCAAGGCTATTTGCGGTGCACTGGCTTTTTTTGGTAGGAAATGGACCGTAGGGCATATGTTGAACCATGGGTACCATGCCCATCATGGAAGCCATAGCCATTTGCTGAGCCGCTACAAAATTGTTCAATGCTGGATGTGCACTTTGCTTGGGAAGGCTGATGGAAACACTGCGGCTGTTTGATCTTTGCGGTACCTGCTCCATCATACGCATCAGGTACTCCATGGTGACATTCTGTGGCAATGAGGAAGGCTTCTCATCACAGCCGTAAGCCTTGGCTTTCCGTTCCTCCTGCAAAGCACTGGGGCACGGAGGCAAATCTTTGAAGAAAGGCAATCCAAGGGATTCTTTCTAGCTCTTGAGGTATCCTTTCGCCAAGCCCTTCACATGCAAGTAAGATGACCGAAGTTGAACACTGTCAGAAAACCGTGCACTGTCAGTCAACAGGAGTACGGTGGTCAACATGGCATAAGTTGGTTCAGAAGGCGCTTGCAATCCCAACTTCCACAGGCGCTCCATCACAAGCTGACACTTTTGGCCCAACGCCATAGTTTCACCCATGACTTGGTTCCAGTCTGCCATGGTCAGATACATTGGAAACCATGTAAAGTCTTGGAGCTGGGTGCGGTTCACCATGACAGGTCGCCTCAAACTTTCTGACACTTTGCTTTGCAATGCTTTGGCGATCGTCGACCTAAGTTCGTTGGTCCAGAGTTTGTTCTGCTGCACCAATGCTAGAAGAGGTGCAGCTTCTTCCAGATCCAATTTGGCTATTCCTTCAATTTCTCTCACCAGCTGAACGCATTGCTTTTCCAAAATCTCTGTGAAGTTATCCAGCCCTTTGCATTGCTCTAGATAATTTTCTAAGGCTTTCATGCGTGCGTACGCCATTTGCCTCAAAGCAAAGGCGCTAGCCTATACGAATTTCTTCTGAACCAAAAAACTTACATGTGTTATGTATCCATATACAATCATGATTAACAGCGGTTCAGAGAACCGCTGTCGCAAAAAAATGTGTGAAATGCAAAAACATGCAAAACCCAATCCATTCTCACGTAAAATAATTTACATAAGTGATCGTGGCGGCTCATGGAGCCGCAATCATTTGTGAGCGTTTGCATGCCCAAATCCATTTTATACAATCACGCACCTTGCCTTTTTCCGTTCACCAAAACTTTGATCTGGAGACATCCTGTACAGAAGCTGCATGTTGAGACCTACGAAAATTTAAAACATGCAACATGGTGCTGGACCAAAAGGCTTGACAGAGAAGTCCTCTTCATCTGTAAAGTGGGTTAACCACACACCATCCTCATTTTGACGATGAATCTTGAAAGTAGTCCATGATCCTATCTTGCAAATCACTACTCCATCCCGAGTGTCCACCACAATCATTGAGGTAGGTTCCTGAGAGGATGCCTTCACATCTTCGGTTTTGACTTGGAAGTCGACCTGAGAGAACGCCTTCTTATCCTCAGGCTTATAGTTCAAAAAATCATTCTCCTTCTCAGGGATTCTCGCAGCATTCGCACCCTTGCCGGTGGAACTCAGCAGGAAACCTTTACGCATGGCCACAACCTATAAAATCTCCAGCCCAAACAGCTGTGCTTCCTCCAGTTTCTGTTCAGTGCACCCCTGACCCTTATGGATACGCAAAATTGTTTCCAGACAATGATGTATAAAAATTGAAAATTTCCAGCCCACACAGCTGTGCTTCCTCCAGTTTCTGTTCAGTGCATCCCTGACCCTTATGGATACGCAAAATTGTTTCCAGACAATGATGTATAAAAATTGAAAATTTCCAGCCCACACAGCTGTGCTTCCTCCAGTTTCTGTTCAGTGCATCCCTGACCCTTATGGATACGCAAATTTGTTTCCAGACAATGATGTATAAAAATTGAAAATTTCCAACCCAAAGAGCTGTGTTTCCTCCAGTTTCTGTTCAGTGCATCCCTGATCCTTATGGATATGCAAAATTGTTTCCAGATAAAACGTAAAAATTAACATCATACAAACATTGCGGCTCATGGAGCCGCATTGATATGTGGAGAAGGCGTGTTGACGCAAAATTGTTTCCAGACAAGCATGTCAGATTAATAAATACAAACACGTTAAACACATGATGGCTACGCATAATTGTTTCCAGACAAAACAAAAAATGAAAATTCCCAGCCCAAACAGCTGTGTTTCCTCCAGTTTCTGTTCAGTGCATCCCTGACCCTCATGGATACGCACAATTGTTTCCGGACAAAACATAAAAATTAACATCATACAAACATTGCGTGCGGCTCATGGAGCCGCATTGATATGTGGAGAAGGCATGTTGACGCAAAATTGTTTCCAGACAAGCATGTCATATTAACAAAATACAAACATGTAAAACACATGATGGCTACGCAAAATTGTTTCAACACAAAACAGAAAAATAACATCATACAAACATTGCGTGCGGCTCATGGAGCCGCATTGATATGTGGAGAAGGTGGTTGACGCAAAATAACTTCCAGACATATGGATCAAACATGCGCGCATAAACAATGAATCAAAACACATGTGGCAAAACATATACCAAACTATACATGCTTAACATTCATCTTACCATGCCCATGCTGTTAAACATCTCTGACATACAGCCACCTCCGCACATACAACGCGGAAGCATGCGCCATACAAAATCTACAAACGGTACAAAATAATGTCACATGTCATCATGGAAAACGCGCCAGCTGACAACAAGTGATCGCCAAAAAAAGTGGCAAACATTGCACATCCTAAAATGCCAGCTATCGTGTTTCACATCAAGAAACATGCACAAAAAAAACAAAACCAAAAACCCATGATAAAAAAATAAAAATAATATGAAACCCAAATTAATAAATAACGAAAAAAAACAAAGTTTTAACTTAACGAAAATGCTAAGTCCACTAAGTTACTTGTATGTGTTTTTTGATGGTTTTTTGGTTATATGACATAACATACTTAGCATGTATATCAAATGGAACATGTTACTTATAAATACCTTAAATAACGCTAACAAACTTGTGCTACATAACTAACTTGAAACATATATCTCATATGGATACAAACTTTTTGCAAACTTCATCTATGTTCCCCATGAAGAAACGGACCACCAAGTAGAATTCATAGTTGTGGAAGTAGCATCCTGTGATCGGCACGATTTTGAGGAATCCGTCGGCGGGGCCACGACTCTCTTGTACATGGGCTTGCGGATGTTGGCATCAGTATATGCCGCCATAAAGTCTGGCACTTTCCAAACATCTCCGCCTCCACGAACGATTGCGTCACGAATGACGTTGTCGAGCTCATTCCTGGTTCGGGGTCCTTCCTCAGTGATGTTTCGGCCACTAATTTTAATGCAGAAATTCCCTGCTTATCCATGTCACCCACTTCGGACAGGTACAGAATAGTATCGTACCAGTGGTACTCCCCGGTGCGGGCTTCGGCTGGCTCTTCTTCGGTGGCTTGTTGCTCAGCTTCCTCTGTGCCCTCCTTCTTTTCTCCGCGCTCGGCCTCCATGTCCACATCAGATCCGGAGCTCTCGTCCTCCAATGATGTCCGAATGCCCTTCAACATTTTGTTGATGTCAGTTTTCTTTGGATCGGTGCAATCGGCACGATCATGTTTCGTACTTCCACAGAAAATACAAACATTCACAGACTCGGAGACAGCAAACAGGTTTCCCAGAGCGTCCAGGAGCTGTTGTTTTCCGGACCTTTCGGATTCTTTGGCGGCATCGGCAAAGTCATCCTGAGGTTCTTCTGCATCTGCTTCCCCAGGATGGGTCGTGGACCCCAGTCCCGGTTGGGCTTCAGCATCATCACCCATGTTGACGTCATCACCGCTTGCGGAATTCCTCAATCACGAACGCAGCTTCGTGGTCTGTCATGCAGCTGAAGTCTCTCAAGTGTTCGTAATCGGGGATGCCGTTGAGAATCCTTATGAATCCTTAGTACATCGGCTGCCTCGGCCGGTTGGAGGGTGCAGTCAAATGACCCGCGTCTCTCTTGTCGTTGATCGTCGAAGTGGTTCTC